TATATATATATCAAAAAAGTAAATTAGGCTTCGCTAAACCTTTCCATCGACCCTTTTAATTTAGTTCGCTTGAGTAAGCCATGTTGCTAGTACTAAAGCCAAGAAAGCGTCAGAACACTTAGGAACACTCTCAACGTTGCGTTGCCTTATAAGCTCCAAAGGAACTAAGTATCAAAAAGTAGGACGGAATTGGAAAGGGGAGAGAGTCAACCCCTTTCCCAGTGTTGCCCTTCCCTTATTGCACAGGGGAGGTATCCCCCGGAGTTCTATACCGGTCAAAACGATCTCACAAAGCCTATGAACGATCTCGCGCGCTAAGCGGGATGAGGGATGCAGTTTGTGTCTTGTGCACGCACCCTGCATAAAATGCTTGAGCGTGTGTTGGTAAAAAAATACTACTCGCCGATTTCATTCACAAACGCCATTGAGCAGCTCGTGTTGCAGATACGAATGATAATAAAGATTACGATCCGACATTATCTTTTACATTATGAATCGATTTAGAATCATTAAATCGATGTCTGCGTATACTGAATTGATATTACTTACTATTGTTATTATTATTATTATTACCTTGCTAGTATTTCTATAAGTTGGAACTGGAACGAAACGAGAGGTTGAAACGATTGATAAGAAGATGGGAAGATCAGCAGTGACTAATTGGTAAACAGTCACAATATGGAATTCGAGTGTATGGATTACATAGGATAATGCACACGTGAGTTGTACCGTCAAAGGATACCAAGTGCCGTTCTTGTATGTAGCCTTCCCGTTGTGAGAAAGAGTGCTACCTGTTGTTTCAAGCTTCTTCTTGGACTTCTTGCACAGTTCAGGTTCAAAAGGGTTTTCTATGTGGACAGTTACGAACTCGTCGCACCTGGCATATCCTGAACTGATGCCCCAAACTCCGAAACGACGGAATCACTAAAGAATGCATGTGGTAAAGTGATGGCACTGCGGTGCGCAGCAGTCGGAATGAGTCGTGTGACATAGGAGATAGAGACACTTACGAGGCTAATCAAATAATTGCCTTAGAGAATTCGCCTCGATCATCAATTGCCGTCATTTTAGTGTGGGCTTCGTGTGATCCGCTGGGAGCGGGTTCCTATCGCTGGCTTTCACTATGTACCGGCCAGTCTTATCGCATAGATATAGTAATGCCTGCGAATGTTTTTTTCTAATCATTGTTAGCATAGCACTATGTTCAAAGGACGTGTTCGGCGCCTCGCGTCTAAGTTCACGGACGATAACCACCCGATACGGTGCCCTGAAAGGACTACTCGTGACTCCAGAAGGTGTTGCCGGTAGTAATGGCGACCCTTTACCGCCTGTCGAGGTTTATCTGGGCGTGCCGTATGCATCACCTCCGACAGGCGCCATGCGTTTCATGCCACCGGGCACCCCACAGCACTGGAAAGGGATTCGAATGGCTGATCGACTGGCGCCGGTCTGCCCCCAACGTCCACCCGACGTTAGCAATGAAACGGAAGCGCTTCAGCGAATGCCGCGTCAAAGACTCGATCAACTTCGCCGTCTTACATCCTTCTTGGTCGGGCAGGAACAGCAAAGCGAGGACTGTCTATACCTCAACTTATACACGCCAGTTATCGGTTAGTACTACTTAATTCAGCTTGAGCGTCACATAGAGAAACGTATATCTGTCTGTATGTATTTATGGCAAACACCTAAACACCAACTCAATCACGCAATACGATACACAGTAGTGTCACCTGGCCACACGCCATTAGAATTGGTGTTAACGAACCCCGGCATATAATAGCCCAGACACACATGGTACCACGCATGACGCGACACAAAGATTAGTGGTTACCGTATGCCCTCGCATCGATGTACAATATACGCGTATATACACCGTATCAATGCGACCCGGACGGGAGAGACGATGTTACCGTGGTGCACGGCACACATGATTAATAACAGATAGTTGTGTATTAGTTGTAGCTAAATAAACTGCATGTAAGTAAATGTGAACAAATATATTGCATAGGCACACAACAATGTTAGAACTGCTACTTCATACCTAAGTTACATAATCCGCATATCTGCCTAGAAATTTTATGAACCTGTTATTGCGATTCTAAACGAAACCTCCAAGTTTATTTTTTTATGTTTACTGTTAGGAGCGAATCCGGCAATCTTTAAAATTCAGTAAGTTTCGAATTAGTTGAACTACGGTAATGATTTTTAGTATATGCTAAAAGTATTTTCTTTTATTTTTTTAACACTTGTCGGGACGCTCTAGACATCCATATACCTACTATTCGTATTCTCATAAGAGATTCATCCATCTATGGCTTTTAAAGGTAAATTGACAGTGGCGTATGAAAAGCTTCGTAATTACACGGACTTAAATCGGAAGAATAAGCGGGTTAAAACCGACGTTGAATATTCTTTTACTTAATCCAGGAAGTAATTGAAGTAGAGTAATGAGGTCTGGCGTTGTCGTCAAGTAATCAGACTGCGTGTCAGTGGTCTGTGAGTCCCTTGAGAAACTCGAGATAGTGAGCTGTATTCATTGCTTTATTTTCGGCGAGTACCTTATAGTGGCAGATACCCCTGATATCCGTTGCAGGTACTATTATTACCTTACGTCCAAATCTACTCTACACTGTTACCGAACCCGACTTCTCTCTGGGGCCACGACTATTCTCTTGGCTGGTTCCTCTCCGGCTGGCGGTGAATATCGAATCATGCCTCGTCTATGACGGCCGTATGCCCCCGGCGAGTTTTTTTGTTGATTCAAGTTTCGCCAATTGCACGTGGAATGCACGCGCCCACTTCTAATTGACACTGGGACCACGCAATTCACACTGGGAACAACTGCCAATTTTTTACTCAGTTCTTGCGTTTTCAGTGTTAGATTATAATTTTGTAACACATTTCATACGAAATGCCAGTTTTGGCCGACAGAGCGCTTCGACTCCACGTTCTGTTGCTGCGAAAACACGTCTTGATTATGGCGACGTATTCTTGTTATTCGCGTCTTGCCGTCTGATTACGTCACCGCTGATCCACAATACCCAAGGCTTCGTTTTTAAAACGTTGCTACTATACACATACTATTGCCTAATTCCTTCCGCCAGTTTTCAATGAATTTTTTTAGTATTGCGATGTTTGAAGTACACAAATTTTATCGCTGAGCGTTGATTTTCGACCTTAACCGACGTTTTTCATATAGCATAAATAAAAAGACGTATCTTAGTATACGTGCTGAAGTGCTTTCATCCAAACTCAAGACAGAGTTCTTTGAAGATGGGTGAAATTTCCACAAAAATGCATTATATTTTACAGTTTTATTACGATAACGGCACAAATGCTGCCCAGGCCCATAAAAAATCCGTGTTGTTTACGGTCGAGATACGTTATCGGACGAAACAGACCAATGATGGTTCAGTCGCTCTCGTTCTGGAAATTTCGATGTGAAATATAGCGTAAAAAAGATACTGAAAAAGTTGCTGAAGTTAGGTGAAACCGACACGAAAACGTGAGCAGCCATAATATCGACGAAGTATTAAATATTTATCATCAAATAGTTTTAAATTTTCTGAAGAAAGCTTGATGTTTAGGTGCGATAGTAACTGATGCAGTCGTAACGAAATTCTATAGAAATGTACAAAATTAAGTTATCTCTAAAGCGGTTGATTACGGCTGATGAATACTGTGCTTCAAAATTTGTGGTAAAGCCTAGAGTGACGCTAAAGAAGGTCATGTTATGTGTTTGGTGAAACTGAAAAGGAACCGTGCGTGATTAGTTGTTGCTGCCTGGAAAAGCAATTGATTCGTACTTCTACTATCAGAATTTAAACGATTACAACAAACCATTAAGAAAAATCCACCGGTATCAATGAGAAAAAAAGGCTTCGTCTTCCACCGTAACAACGCCAGGCCAGGCCAGGCCACATGCATCTTTAGCTATCCGAAAATACTAAAGGCATTTCAATGCATCTGGCCTATAATTCAGACCTCAGAATTATCTAACTAGTGCCTGTCTAAGATTCCGCGAAAATTCCTCAGTGATGTTAATTCTTCAAGGTATGCAAAAATTTCTTGCAAGAAACCGCAGAAGTTTGACGGTGATGGGGTTATGGTATTATCAGAAAAGTGGCATACGGTGATCAAACAAAATGAAGCATATTTAGTAACATTATTTTAAAAGAAAAAGCATTGGCTTCAATTTTGGTTTAAAAATAATCTTGTTTTTTTTGACAACGTATATATATATATTACGTTTGGAAGTATTATGACTTACCCAACAATAATAGTATCAGTTATGTTAAAAAAGTGTTTTACTGTTGAGGATATGTCAAATCGAAGGAACGAAATGATCTGATGTGGGTAGTCATCTGCTACAGACACGGTTCTGTCATCGTTCGAAATCTTTTCAGGTCGAACAGACTACCCTGGGGGCTGTGATGGGCGTTTCTGATAGGATCGTTTGGCGGGAATATTGAACTTTACAGATTGCTTTACATAATGTACATGCAACGAAGAAAGAACAACTTCTAAACCGCGGTAGAATGTAGCTGGTAGCAGTGGACTGCGACTTTACCAAGGCTTGCATATTGTCCTTACATCGAATGTGCTTTTTCCTCCTATCGCAGGGAGAACAGGAGCCATTTATCAACCAAAGTGAACTACAAAGAAACACAGAGGATTTATCTGTGCTCGATTTTGTGTTTGGCGGTGGTATGAGTCGATATTGTAGTAATGGTGATTCCTGATTTTTCAATGGAAACGGAGTTTCTTATTGAACGACCACCTCGCTGGTTGATTCATATTTTTTCGTTAATTTCCCAGAGAATTTCGTGGCTTTTTGAACATTCTGAAGTATCCACTAATAGCTATCGACTAATAACTATGTTCATCAACAGACACCAGATTCGTTATCTATACAGAAAGCTATTTTTACCTGCGAGAATACACGTTAATGACTTGTAAAGAACAGAATCCTAAGTTTAATTAAGAAGAGATCTTGGAATTAATGTAATTTCTTATGCGAAAAAGAAAATGCAGAACAAGCAGCAACTTGTTACGAAAGCGATTTTTTATTCCTTCCGACGTAATTGCTACACTATGTATCGCATTGTCCAAGTTTCACGTCTCCGTTCACGGGGACGTGAAGGCCTGATTTCACCAGAAAGTAGCTATAACGAAATAATGATCGCGGATAAAACAGGCACAGTCTCACACAGACGGCCATCTCTCGAAAGAAAACATCCGTAGAAAGCTTCTAAAAACACATGCGCAAAAAGGTGTTCTGTTTTTTAAGGACAGAGTGACTTCTAGCAGCAGATTTGTTCATTAAGGTTTTCGCTTACTAAAATAACGTTAGAACGTTTTGTCTATTAGCGAACTTGTAACTGGCGTGGACAAAGTTTGACCATACAGTCTAAAGGTGTTGATCACGATAACGAATGCAGCGATCAAGGCAAGGGAAGATTAAACGAAGCACGGGAGCGGCCAGTCAACTAAACGTAGCCGTAGTAGAACATCGCACGTTCTAGGAGCGTAAAATCCATTCTGTTGACGTCTAGCGACCTCGCCTCTGGGCTTTCCTGCTGCTTATTGTCGAATTTGGCTCGCCGACAGGTGAATCCAAGTTGTCCCGACTTTCGAAACAGCTGAACAGCCGGCCGTAACAAAACTTTCGAGCCAACGGTACGACCTCAGGGGAGTAATTAAGGCTCAGGCCCTCATCCGTGATGACGACGTCGTCGGCTGAGAAGGTCTTGAAAGCTACGGTAACCATTTCGAACCGAGCGAGTTTGGAGGTCGGTGTGAAGAGCGACAGAGAACTTGACGCATGAGAACTCCAACTTGGATCACGCGCTTTTCATTTCCACCGCGAAATAACTATATTCGTACAAATTTTCATGACGCCTTCACTGTCATGGTCATTGCTGCCCTCTTCCATGACCCAGTTCCATGACGAATGGAAGATTCTTCATTGGTGATACTTTGCCTCAACGCCCTTAGCTAAGCTGGAAGTTGTATGCAGTTAGAATTCGATTAACTGTCGATTCCGATGCTTATAACGGATGGTAGAGAAAAGGCATGCTTTCTGAGATCTACCAAATTTGAACGGCTTGACTGGCTGATGATATGAAAGGACGAGTTCTGCTGCACAAGGCACAGCTCAAACAAAAACACTCGAACAGTTCAGAGGTCCTGTAAATAATGATTTGATTCGGATTTCGTGTTTTCCTACACCATTTTCCCAACGCGCCGTGCTAATGTCTGTGCAAACATAAATATTGATCACGGCTCCGCTGCACGCTAATGAAAGACTGTAGGGAAATGTTCTTGTTTATTCAGTTGAACCATTGCTGGCTCGCTTAGTATCGTTCAAAGTGCACCGCCGTTGAGCAAACTTCCTGTCGGCCGTGTCACTTGTTAGCTAGTAGTGAAAGTCTAATTATAACAAGCACACTAAATATGCTACCTGCAAGTAGGGAAATGTCCTGGTAGACAAATAAAAACCGCAAGGTATATTTTTTTTTTACTTAAAAATTGGAATATTTCTTGAAGGGGTTAGTCTAACTTAACAACTGATATCTTTTTTTCGTAATTAAGTGCATCACGTCGTCTT